AGGGTCGTGTAAGCGACCCAGTTCTCAAAGTGAGCGCACGAAGAAATTCGCAGCCCACACACAAACACTGGCGACATAATACTGAGGTTACGCTGACACGAACGCAAGCGTGGCAACAGCTCAGACTAGCGAGCGCGTCTCCGTACGAACGCGCGGACGCGTCCCGTTTGTGGGCTTCCTACTCGCAATGCGTGGATGCAGCAACGACAACTTCGGTTATCTACTCATTCGCGAACACCGCGAAACACATATACGTGTGCCGCAGGAAAAAACAGTGAACGAAATACGCAGTACTCACCGAGCAAATACGAGACGCACTGGTGCGCTCCCAGCCGTCTCGCTTCACTTGAGCCAGCCATAGTTGTCGTCGGCCAGGGCTCGATGGGAAGCGGAACATTCGCACCCCCTTTCTGTTGTGGTTAGTGCAGAGCGGTACGGAGCATCCAAGCATTCTAAGGCTTCACCGGCAGCGTTTAACACGCTACCGCAACGTTCGACGCCGTATTATTGAGAACTAAACGCAACCGGGCGTAGACGCAGTGCGGGCACCAAGATGGGGCGACAGCGCGGCGTTGCTGTCTGGCAACATTGTGTTTTGCGGGCGGCGGTGCGTTGGCGGCATGTAGTGGGTCAAAGGCTGACATCACCCTAAAAACGGCCGTTCATGTAGGCTCCCTATGCTGGGTGAGATATGAACGCCACCTTGCAGTACTGTCTAGAAACGAAAGCTGCTTTAGAATGTAGAGCCACTGGTAGGTGGCAGCACCGTATCGTCTTAGCGGAACGTAGAAAACCCCTGCTTTTTCCTGCATAGCGTTGTATTGTCGGCGCAGTGCAAAAACACTGTGGTCTTTAGAACTACGCGTCTACGCATTTTTTTGTACAGCATTTATGTTTCACCTCAAATCTGCGCAATATTTGCTTTTTAGTCGACAGTTTTCACAACTATGAACGCAGATCAAGATGACTGGCGTTGAGCAAGGGCTGAAACTTATAAAATACACCCGGTGGCTGAAATGAGTCGTGCGACAGACAGCCAAACAGAAAAAAAACAGGCAGGCCAAAATTTCTGGGTTTGAAGTGTCCCAAAATCACCGTCTTTAAAAGAATCAGTAGGTGTATTACTATGACCGGGACCCCCCTTCGAGGCTTATCTGGATACAACAGCTCGTTGGGCCTGACCCAATGTCGCTAGCTGCTTTTCAGGGACAGATGGGCGGGTTGTGTTTCCTAGGACAACATTTCTGTCACATTTCACTGACAACATTTCACTTGTTCCGACAGTACACAGATGCTCTCCGGGCTTATCTATGTTTTATGCTTCAGTGATGAAGTGCCTCATCACTGAGACAAACTTCGTTGTATCTGTCTGAATGTATCGGGTGTAGCGAAGGAGGGTAACCATTCGACAACTACAGTCAGCAACAACTTTATAAATGCGAGCTCCGCCAGTATATAGTGGAGTGACTGTCAATGACCAATGTGAAACATTTCCGCAAACTGGCAACTAGAGTTTTCAGTACTGTTTTGGAGCTTATCTGAACAGCAGGCACATCGGAAACTGAACGTACGTCGTTCTTGTGTAAATTTTATTGTCGGCTAAACGGTGCTCTCAGTACTTCTGTTGAAATATACCAGAAGGTGGAAGTCTGTTTTCGAGTAAAACTAACCAAGTTAACCCGCGTCTGTACAGAAAGCTTTACCAGCCGAAGCAGACGAGAAGTGCTTTATGCCACAGAAATGAACAAGTGAGATTGAATGGAGAACTATACAATTTTTGTCTGGGTGTCTCTGTGAATGCTGCGGCTGAAGCTCAGTTTCATTGTTAGTTTCTAACTAAATACAAAGAAAATATAGTCTCGTGTTTTATCGTGAGGTTCAGTTGGAGCAAACGTATTTTTATCATGCTGATAAAGGTATGTGCGCGACACTGTCTTGTAGATAGATTATGTGCGCGACATTGTCATCTCACGCACACACCTGCAAACATGCAGCCATAATGTATGATGACCGTGAGCACTCATTGTCACAATGCCACAGTGATTGAAAGTACGGTTTGTAGGAAAAACGCGTCACGCTGCCATTACTTTTAATATGCCACTGAAACTTGTGACAACCTCACCTCTAGGGCTACAAGTGCATCGGACACTAACGCATGCTGTGATTCATCTGCTCTTCAACAGCCAGCGCCGCCTGTGCCTAATGAGAAGGGCAGATGCACGAAGACCATTCACTAAGATCACATTACTGCGCTCTAAACCACCTCCCCTTCTTGTTTTATTTTTCTCATTTCACTGGACCTTTGTATTAACAGCTGGGACCCATGGTTGACAGGTTTGGCCACATTGCGGCAATTTCGCTACTTTCACCTTCTGAATTTGAGTATATTTGAATTTGAGAATATTTTCACCTTCTGAATTATGAGTTGCGACTTGTATTACGCAAACGTGAGGACATTTTGATACTTGGCAATCACTCGCAAAAACTATAGCACAGAGTCTCAAGTTGCAGGAAAGTGACATTTATGAACGCGACTATAAACTGTCATTGAGTTTTAACAAAGTGATCGAGAGTGCTCTGCATCCAGGGCACAGATCATTCATTGAAATCAGAAATAAAATATACATGGAGCTGCTTGTGTGGTTTCTCCTAGTTAGAACTTCAGCACAGAACTCGGCAATATAAGCTGCTCGCACTACGGTATTGCGTGAAATATGGCTGCAAAAATGACTGCAATTTATGCTTCAAACCCCGCCATAGGTCAGCAACCCCACTTTGAGCCGACTCACTAGGACACACTCAGACAGATCGAGCTACGGGTCTGAGTGAGAGTTAGTAGATCTAGCGAGCTGGTGGTGAGAGCATTGGTGGTGGTGAGTGATCTGGAGTTCTGGTGAGTCCGGGCGAGTCCAGTTGAAGAAAATCTTCGTCAGTGCAAGTTAGAGTAACTCTGGCCCAGGAAAATTTCGGTAAATCTGAGTCTGAGTGAGTCCGAACCAGAAGATATGTTTCTTTGGTAAGACTGAGTGAGATTCACTTTTGTTTGCCGACTTCTGAACGCCATCGATTCTCAATTTTATTGTAGCCACATGGGTGTTACCTGTTTTCCCACGAAGAAAAGCTACGCAAGAGTGATCAAGACTGTTTTTTTCCTTTATTTTTGCAACTATGCAAGATACTTCATCTTGCACAAAACCATCGCTAAAGTCGGCAATTTGGGCTTGAATTTCACAATTTATGATTATGAAAAGTCTTTAGCTGTCACTTTACATTCGCATCAAGGAGAGTCTACATTTATTTATTAAAAAAGCCTCATACTTGTTTTCGCACACGCCTGGATTTTTTTCTGACCTCGACTAACTTTCGCCGAAACGTGACAAGTTTTTCTATATTGTTGTTGCCTTTGGTCTTGTCGACTTGCCTGCCTTCTTGTGCCTTCATTCCAAGGAAACAGCTTACTTCAATCACGTGCTCTAGCGAGACCCCTCATTACTAAGCGCCGATCTAGAAAATAAAGCCAGTTTATTAGGGACCTTAATAAGGTTTTCAGCGTCATCATCACCATGCACGCCTAAGGTCCGCGTGACCTCCGTAGTGGTTGCACTGCTGGCTATCTTAGTTTGTAACATAGCAGTAAATGTTACTTATGTAAAGCAGCGACACGGACGTCATGCCGGGTTAACATCACTTGTGATACCAATCTTGACTTCACTTTTTGAAAAGTCTAACAAGCAATACAATTTCATTTCTACATATCATTCAGCAAGCCATATTTAAGCTGTCGACCCCGGGCGAAAACTCTGACGAAAGTTACGTATCATATTCACATCGTCACACCGAATAGCCCACTAAGTTTCGATAATACTGTCATCTCCGCTCTAACGACAGTGCTAACCTCATGTCAGACCACAAGTTACTCATTGTAGTGTGCACCAGATGCCAGCGTAGTGGATGTTTCAGGTAAGCCCAAAATGTGCACAAAACTATTCCCCCTATCATCAATCTAACTTGCAACGCTTGCTTCAAAGCCAAACTACTTCAGCACAGAACTTTTACTTGCAGGCCGCTAGGCAGGAAACAGATTTCGAGAAGGCGAGCAATCCGGCGAATTTTTCAGTTAACAAAGCTACGTTGTTATCTTATATAGAAGAATTAAAATTCTCAACTCGAAAATTGCATTACAACTACGAGATTTGTAAAACGATTTTTACACGAATGTTTGTGAAGTAGTGAAGTAATAAAATGCATTTAAAATATTCGTTGAAACCAAAATTAGCAAGACCACAATTTCATATTTTTCTGACACGTTAGCAATGAGTGGGCGTAGTGATGTAAACCGTGCCCGCTCATCACGGAAGCCACGTGTAAATCATCAACCAACTATGCTGTGTGGGTACACGGGTTGAGCTTGCAATTGCAGCACGAAGGCGTAGGGCACGTACTTAAGAGAACATGGGAAAACAAGACATATGTAATCATTGTCTCAAACAGTGACGTCTTTGTGATCGTTTGGTTCTCGCGCTGGTGCTTTGGTTTTGTTTTCATCGTTCAATTTTGCTTTAGTTCATCATGACACAGTACTTCCTAGAGGCAACTTTTTCTTTGTCTCAAGCTGGGTTCTTCGAACGAAGAACTTCAATGCTTCTGTTTGACAAAACCAGTATTAAAAATTTATGATAAGTTCATTTGTAAACGGAATTATTTATCCTATTTATTTACATTTTCAAATTATCTGTTTAATTATCCTGAAACGCCATTAGCTACAAAAAAGCAAGTATGACGAAAGTGAGCAAATATCGCATCTTTCTGAATTTTGCGAATTTCACGCACATTTCTTGAAACTCCCAGTATAACCTGCAGAGCCTACGTGACATCTCACAACGTCTTTTCGTGAGCGCTATATATTCGAACGCTCGAGAAATAAATTTCGCAGCCGTATTTTTATTCGTTTGTCGAAACAAGCTGCTTATTTATCGCTTACTTTTCCTCTTTGAGAACAGGTTCTCCGAGAATGACCCGGTTCAAAATCATGTACGTCGACCCTCGGAGAGATTGCATGATATTGATAAAAACCCAAAGCCGACACAGAGGCAAGTTTTTTATTGTCTATATGTTGGATCATGGTTAACATGGGAAAGATCATAATGTTGAGCATAAACGGCGTATATAACCACAAGCACTGAAAAACATAAAATGTTCTTCAGAAGCTCACCATCTTGAGAAATGGTATAACGCTATATATGAATAATTAAAGAACACGTTACAAAAAAGCAAAAAATAAAAAATTGTTACGTATCTGCATGTTTCACTGCAAATGTTAAAAGATGGTCTGGAGGGAGTTAATCAAACGTTTTTTATTGTGTGCGCGAGAAAATTGGTGAATAGGATTCTGGAGGCACTGCTTGAGACATGAGCGCCATCTGGCAGTAATCTTGGAAAACGAAAGAATGGCCCCCGATATAGCCAGCCCGCAGTGCGTGCGCGCAATCTCGGAGGCCATAATTTGTAGAGTGCAAGGCGACGGGTAGGATCCACCATCGTATCGTCCTAGCAACACACAGGAAACACCCCCCCCCCCCTTTTCGTGCATGGCGGATCGTTGTCAACGCAGCGTAATAAACACTACGTTCGATGAAATCACTCATGTATGCCTTTCGTAGTATAAAGAAACAAGCCACAAATAATAAAGTGTGGAGGTTGTGCCCCAGATACGCGTAATATTTCTTTTTGACTGACGATACGCACAAGTATGAACGTCAAAAACCAGGTAAATATTGGTGGGCTATGCGGATGTGATTATATTTTAGCCGTTTCGGGTGACACAGCAGACGTACCAAAGCTTTTGCATGGAAGTATCGCAAAAATGACTGTCATCTTTGACCAAAACAAATGGCTGGAAGGAGCGCTCCAGAACTCCGATTTCTTTATCCCGTCTAGCGAAGATCGATGCACCGGTAGCACAAAAATATGAACGCCACTACTGTAATGCTTTTATCAGGAGCGAAGCTCTTATAAACTCGCAAACCGTTGTCGCCGTCACGGCCGCCGAAGCTCCCCGTCGCATCACCGCTCACACCCGACTCCCACATCCCGCCGAAAGCCCATGAGTTGGTCACCCTCAATATTAGTTTGTTTCACTCCGAAATTCAAGTTGGCTCATCGTCCTAGAATTCTGCTTCTTAAAATTTGTATTGTAGTTTTGAATGCGACGAATTTTTCAGCAAAGTGCAGACACTTTGAACGTTTCTATCTATGCATCCATCTAGCCGCCTACGGTCGGTGCTCTACAGTGACCGCTTCTTCAACTCGGTGTAGACCGAAATTCATAAGGCAGGGAAAGCGAGTTACAGAAATATTACAGTCTGGTCATGACATGAATGTCGTGAAAACTGTCACTTACGTCGGCAAATGCTTTCCTCGTGACACATGTGGCACATATTCGTATAAAAAGGACCGCAACAACACGGTAGGCACCACATGTGATTGACAGTTTATATCAACCCAGGAAGGGTGAGACAGACATTAGTACCTTGATTGGGAGAGCGTTAGGACATCGTTTCATCAGGAACCTAAATTAAATTTTCGGCAGGAATCGAACTGAAGCGTTCTGCGCAGCAATCGGGCATTCTACCGCAGAGCAATGCCCGTTCTTGAAACTGCTTAAGAAAAAGATACTATGCCGGCGTAATGTCGGCCCAACTTCATGCAGTTGTGGCTGCAGTGGTGGCCATCTAACTTTTTAACAAAGCATTAACATTGCGTATGTACACCTGTCACACAGATGTCATGCCATGGTACCATAATGTGAATTCCGCGTTGACTGGAGCAGCCTATAACAAAAGTTACATTTGTATGCCTAGGCAATCATGATAATGGAAGGTTACACGCTAACCTATAGAGACAGCTGTATGCTCTCCCATAGTAGAAGAGCAAGTACTGTAAATAGTTAAACTCTTCATTCTAAGCGAGCTATAATCAAGCGTCTCTCGACACCGGGGAAAATGCCAACAAAAATTACTTGGAATATTCCCATCGTCACACCGTAAAGCGCACTCTGTTTCATCATACTAGCATGAGTGCTCCAACGTGAGTTCTGGCCTTTATGTCAAACCGCAAATTACTCAGTGCAGTGAGTAGTACACGCCAGGGTAGTGGGCACTTTCGCTATGCACACAGTCTGAAAAAAACTACGGCACTTAACGTAAATCCACCTCGAAACACCTGCCTCAAAGCCGAAAAATCAGCATCGCCATTGTGTTTGACGGGGGGTGGGATGGGACAGTGGTTATTCTCTTTTTCCCCCGCCTCGCTCGGAGAAAACTGCTGGGACATTAACAAAGTGTATTCATTCCATCATTCATTCCATCATTCATTCATTCATTCCATCATTCATTCATTCATTCATTCATTCATTCAATCGTTCATAGACATTCACTTACCGGCTGGTTCGCACGAAACTGATTCGCGCCTCGTGTGGTACCTGCCAAATTTTTCAAGCGTCGTTCTGCTTTGCTTTGCACTGAGTTATACGTCGAAGTGTATGTTTTTTGGGTACAATACTGCTGTATTTAGCTATATGGTTTACATTCAAAGTTTTCAGCTGAAAGGATGCCAAATGCTGTCCGTTGTTTAAAAATTTAACAAAGCGTGTCGTGGCCTGCTTTCGCTTCTCAATACCTGCATTAACTACGGGAGAAAAACTAATGAAGTCTGCAAGCATTGTTGAGCAGAATCTAAGCAATACATTCTTCCTCACTTACTGTATGATATCATCAGCACGCAACAAAACACGATAACAAAGTCTTTCCCGGGTCATATTCAATTATTCAATGCCGAAATCTAACGATGATAAGACATTTATCCAGTTTTAATTGACAAATAATTGGTAGTATAGAATACAGTTGTCCGCATACTAACAATCATGTTGCCCTCCTTCCTCCACAGAGTGCATTCTATTTCAGACAAGTAGAACAGTAGATGGACCGATTCCACCCGAATGCCGGCAGGTCTATCGAGATTTCTGCAACCATGACTCGGTACTTATCTATGAACCAAAGTGCAAGGAAGTTTTCCGACATGCTCCAGCCCATAACTCGGTCCGTTGAAACAAATGCTCTACCAGGACGTTATGCTGGGCTAAAAAGTGACGCGTGAAAATAAACCAATTGTTGCTTCGTCTACGTGCTTACACTCATGTCTGTTTCTTGGCTACTTCTCGAGTGGTAACTGAAGACGCGGTAGGGAGTGGTCACGTCAGGCATGGACAAATGTCTGTTTCCTGGCTATTTCTCGAGTGGTAACTAAAGACGCGGTAGGGAATGGCTACGTGAGGCACGGACAAATGTCTGTTTCCTGGCTACTTTTCGAGTGGTAACTAAAGACGCGGTAGGGAGTGGTCACGTGAGGCATGGACAAATGTCTGTTTCCTGGCTACTTCTCGAGTGGTAACTAAAGACGCGGTAGGGAGTGGTCACGTCAGGCATGGACAAATGTCTGTTTCCTGGCTATTTCTCGAGTGGTAACTAAAGACGTGGTAGGGAATGGCTACGTGAGGCACGGACAAATGTCTGTTTTCTGGCTACTTTTCGAGTGGTAACTAAAGACGCGGTAGGGAGTGGTCACGTGAGGCATGGGTCTGTTTCCTGGCTACTTCTCGAGTGGTAACTAAAGACGCGGTAGGGAGTGGTCACGTGAGGCATGGGTCTGTTTCCTGGCTACTTCTCGAGTGGTAACTAAAGACGCGGTAGGGAATGGTCACGTGAGGCATTGACAAATGTTTGTTTCCTGGCTGCTTCTCAAGTGGTAACTAAAGACGCGGTAGGGAGTGGTCACGTGAGGCATGGACAAATAGCGCTGGTAGGCAGCCCAGTGATTATAACTGAGTGAGCCACATGTGTCTTAATTTTGCTGCGATGTAAAAACAGGATGCACTATAGAATATTTCACGCAATTTTTGAGCAGCTCCTATAGGCGCCCACTTTTGCCTCGAATGAGGTCGCGTCACTGTTACCAACGGTGGCATAACTAAAAGACATGAAAAAAGAAAACGATGAATAAAACCAAAATTGGAAGGAATTTGGACCCGGACACTCCGCGTGGTAATCGAGTATTCCAGCATGGAGCCATTCCGGTGCTCGGAATCGATTTCCAAAAATACCCTGGGCAGGCGTCAAGTCTGCAAATGAATCGCCTTAAACTGAAATAAAGTCTGGAAGAAGAGTAAAAAAAACAAACAATCATCGCACAATGCTGATTGCGTGACGAATGCGCGGTTTAATGCTTCCCACCTACTGCAAAGTGTTCAGCCATTATTCTTCATCACCATCAGCCACATTCGGCATTATGAGAGTGCACGTAATCTTTATGGATGTGTGGCAAGTACCTCGACTATCCATAGAAAGAATCGCGTAGTTGCTGTTGCCCAAGTTCACAAAAACTATGATTTATGGTGAGTTCAATATTTTGCGGAAGGTCAAAACTTCGAACACTGCTGGCCTTGTTCTGTGACGAAGCTGCAGTAATTATTCACATTAGTTGGTATTGTTATGGTCGCTGAATTTCGAAACAGCGATTTTTCTATCTGGTTACGGCATGTAGTTCATGTCAAACATATTTTTCGCAAATGTGTTTAAAGAGAGGTAGGTGCCTATGCGTGGCTCCAACTATCCTTCTCTTACTCAACAATTTGCGCCATGAAGCTATCATTAAAGTCATGAAAGATTCATGCAAGGAATATACCGTTCGCAAAAGCAAGGTTCAAACGTCATAAACAATGCTGATGGGTCCTCAACAATTTGCACGCAGAAGGAACTTTCACACTTTACAGGACACTTCATTTTACAGTTTTTTCCAATAGGTTATTAGACAAGTCACTGAGAGCTTGACCACACCCTATAGAAGGGCCCCGCCACGGTGGTCTAGTGGCTAGGGTACTCGGCTGCTGACCCACATGTCGTTGGGATTGAATCCCGGCTGTGGCGGCTGCATATCCTCTGAAGGCAGAAATGCTGTAGGCCCATGTGCGCAGATTTGCGTGCACGTTAAAAAACCCCAGGAGGTCGAAATTTCTGGAGCCCTCCATTACGGGCTCTCTCATAATCATATGGTGGCTTGGGGACGTTAAACCTCACATATCAATCGATCAACCCTAAAGAAGGCTTTCTTCAAACACGGGAAACACATGAAAGCACGCTAGACATGTGACCAAATGTATCTCGTAATATTTAACGGTGAGAGCAATAACTGTTTATGGCAATCGGCATCTCTCTGATAATCGTGGTTCTAATATTTGTATACTAGCGCGCGTGCAGTGTTGCTTCGAAAGGTGGCGGTACACCAAAGGCCGAAAACTTCTGCTAGTAATAGCGGTTGTATATCCAACCCTTTTATTGTTACTCAAAATGGCTTATATATCAGCGAAGCTGCTTAGCATATCGTTCCTTGTCCAACGAACGAAAACAAAAACTAATAGCATCGTGAATAGGCATAGGCTGCTGAAATTTCGTAATCCCTTCCACTCGTCCACTAAAAAAGTACAAAGAGAGCAATACAAAGAGAGCAGTTACCGAACAAGACAAAATTCTTTATCGATTTTCCTGAGTGGGTATGAGCCACGGTTGGGGCATTATCATTATCGTCATCAATAACAAGAAATGGCTGCGAAGCGACTGTGGCGTGCTGCAAACCCCGAGCACGTACGACGAGAGAATCCTAGGTATCGAGAGACGCAGCCGCAACTGCGAGAAGACACGGAAGTGATGGAAGGCCCAAGCCAACGATGGCGTGCCCTTGTAGATCTGTGACAGTGACGGACTATTTCTTTCAGCGCAAGTTTCCTTCTTCGGAGTATGAGCGTCCGCGTCGTGTCTGTCCGTCCTTTCACTCAAAGCTCTCTTGGCTGAGAATCGAAGCATGAACAGCCTAGCATCACCTATAGCTAAAGTCTAGAAACGACGTCGAAGCATTCTAGAAACAAACTGCGTCACCTAACTGAGCCTACAAGCAATCTACAAGCAACCAGATTAATTTTTAATATAGTTCATTTTCGCTCTTCTTAGCCTTACACATAGGCCCCGCCGCGGTGGTCAAGTGGCTAAGGTACTCGGCTGCTGACCCGCAGGTCGCGGGATCGAATCCCGGCTGCGGCGGCTGCATTTTCGATGTAGGCGTAAATGTTGTAGGCCCGTGTGCTCAGATTTGGGCGCACGTTAAAGAACCCCAGGCGGCCGAAATTTCCGGAGCCCTGCACTACGGCGTCTCTCATAATCATATGGTGGTTTTGAAACGTTAAACCCCACATATCCATCAATTAGGCCTTGCGCGTAGTGCGAGCTTCGCCCATTTCGGCACTGTACAAGAAGGTCACTCATGTCTGCTTAGTTCTGCCGCATCACACGCTCACGTATTCATCCAATACGAATCAAGAAATACCAATCAGGTTGATATTGAAGGGAAGTTGGAAGCTTTAACAGATGAAAAATTCTTTAACACAGGGCGCTGCGGTAGTCACCGTTTCGACAAGTTGCTTTCTTCAATGTGGTATCTGCCTACATAAGCACGTGTATTTGTGCGCTTCGCACTCTCTCCCCCAACCAAAACAGAAGGAAAGAGCAGAGCCAATGCTACCTATATATCAGGCCTTATCACTGCCGTCACGACATCACGTGCCTTGACTGAGCGAGCACGCGCGGGAGGCCGTTGAATGCACTGGCACCATCGTCTGCTGTGAAAAGATAACACGTTCGCGGCCCGTTTTACGTGTGCAGCCGCAGCAACGTCTGTGTAAAGCGCTCGAGCAGCCGGTTTTTGCTCTGCGGGCCGAAACCTTGAGGCAGTTTCGGGCTCTCAAATGGTGTATCATGAGCATGCACGGCCTATAGTTGTCAGGCTACAACGTCAGAGTCTGATATACTCAGAGTCTTTTACTACGTCCGCGTAGTAAAAACCGGCTGCTTGAGTGCTTTGCACAGACGTGACCACGGCTGTACAACAGCTCAATTTAACTCATTGCGTCTGTATTGGCACTTGTTTAACAATTGTATTGCGCGTTAAATTTCTTGGTGATTTATTTGTAAGCAGTTATTATTCCATATGGACGTACGTAAACATTGTGCGCTACAGTTTACGAAACCGATTTATAGGAGTAAAGTTTGGAGGCCCAACAAAGAGGTGAAATAAGTAAGGTAAATTTTAAGTTTTATTTCTGTTTTCTGGCTACTTTTCGAGTGGTAACTAAAGACGCGGTAGGGAGTGGTCACGTGAGGCATGGGTCTGTTTCCTGGCTACTTCTCGAGTGGTAACTAAAGACGCGGTAGGGAGTGGTCACGTGAGGCATGGGTCTGTTTCCTGGCTACTTCTCGAGTGGTAACTAAAGACGCGGTAGGGAATGGTCACGTGAGGCATTGACAAATGTTTGTTTCCTGGCTGCTTCTCAAGTGGTAACTAAAGACGCGGTAGGGAGTGGTCACGTGAGGCATGGACAAATAGCGCTGGTAGGCAGCCCAGTGATTATAACTGAGTGAGCCACATGTGTCTTAATTTTGCTGCGATGTAAAAACAGGATGCACTATAGAATATTTCACGCAATTTTTGAGCAGCTCCTATAGGCGCCCACTTTTGCCTCGAATGGGGTCGCGTCACTGTTACCAACGGTGGCATAACTAAAAGACATGAAAAAAGAAAACGATGAATAAAACCAAAATTGGAAGGAATTTGGACCCGGACACTCCGCGTGGTAATCGAGTATTCCAGCATGGAGCCATTCCGGTGCTCGGAATCGATTTCCAAAAATACCCTGGGCAGGCGTCAAGTCTGCAAATGAATCGCCTTAAACTGAAATAAAGTCTGGAAGAAGAGTAAAAAAAACAAACAATCATCGCACAATGCTGATTGCGTGACGAATGCGCGGTTTAATGCTTCCCACCTACTGCAAAGTGTTCAGCCATTATTCTTCATCACCATCAGCCACATTCGGCATTATGAGAGTGCACGTAATCTTTATGGATGTGTGGCAAGTACCTCGACTATCCATAGAAAGAATCGCGTAGTTGCTGTTGCCCAAGTTCACAAAAACTATGATTTATGGTGAGTTCAATATTTTGCGGAAGGTCAAACTTCGAACACTGCTGGCCTTGTTCTGTGACGAAGCTGCAGTAATTATTCACATTAGTTGGTATTGTTA